AAGCTATTGAGGTATTCTGTTGTTGGATGTAATAATAAACATAGCAGTCGTCATTTACTCCCAACATCACGCTGAAGACACAGAGGATTACTTTTGTTTTTGAAGGGAATGCGCCCCCGATCTACCTAAATGCGTCTATGTTCTAGGGTTGGGCGATGTCTACAAAATTGGCATCGGACAATGTCTACAGTGAAACATCACGATGGACGATAACATTGGCGGGGGGAGGGGTGTGGGGGTGGAGTTAGGGGGTGTGCCCGAAGCGTGAATCCTTATAAGGGAAAACACGATTCCTAACACTGTGTCTACACCGGACGCGAGCGGCGTGACAAAATACTATAGAACCATCGGTGATGGACGATGGCATCGTCTATCGGCCCAACCCCACTATGTTCGCGCAAATCATTCGTGATCCAGCTTCACCTCCAGAAGAAGTGAGTACAAGTTTTTTTTTTATGAATCTTTGCAAACCGCCTTTCCTAATAATGTGCTAGTTAGCAAGTTCCGTGACGAATGCAGCTAAAGTTTACAGTCTCAGAGAACTGCTAGGAAGAGAGGGGCGGGGTGAGCAGAGCTCATTAGCATTTAAAGATACATGCACCAAAACGGCTCGCTGTCAACAGAGCTGTTTTTGACAAGGTAAAAAGGGTTTTGTTTTACTCTACCATTGAGAAATTTTAACCAAAGTATGTTATAGACTTTTAATTAAGACCCTAAAGAATCATTTCAACTTGTGGAAAATGGGAATCCGATGACCTCTTTGAAGACTGTTTAACATCCATGAAACCTTTTCATTCCACAAAAAGTTCTTTAGATTATTAAAATGTTCTTCACACTAAGAAAAAATGGTTAGTTTATTAACTGTTCACTGAAGGGCTCTTTGGGGAACTCAAACTGGTTCTTCAATGCCTTCTGGGCTCAGTTCATTTCTTCTGTTCAGTCCGTCAAGGTCAGACATGAGTAAAAAGCTGCTTTATAGTAGAAATTGAAGTTGTAATTCTAATTGAAAGCACCAATGACACTATTTTTTATGTTTTTATGAAAAGTACTTTGCCATGAAGGCCTTTGGGGCCTTTACAATGGAAGTAAGGGGGCAAGATATTCAGCAGGTTTTAAAATCGGCTCACATTTCTGTACCTAAATTAACCCTTCTGAGCACAATTATTATTTATTTGAACTGTAAAGTTGTCTTCTACTTTTTTTATTTATCCCAATGAAATCCCTTGTACCATAGACTCCTATTGCAAGTGCAATAGGAAAACACAATTTTTATTACAAACTGTGGGGCTAGTTTAAATCATTTTCTCTTGTACTAGGTTATATTGAATTTGAAAGCAGTTTAAAAACAAAAAGGTCCGCCACACTTTATACAAGTCGGTGGATATTTCCCATGCCCATGCGTTGGCTGTTAGTTGCAACTGATCATGTTCCATAAACTAAGAAATGAAAAGCAATTACACCAACCTCAATCACATTTTTTCACACGAGGCCTGAAAAATAAATAAACAACTTTATCCAGCTCACCCACAGCTAGATTTCAAATCATACCCGAATGGCTCATTCCACAGGGAAAAGCCCTCCAGAGACCATCTTATGCCACTCTCTCCAAACAAGGCAAACTATTTTAGACCCAAACACCCAAGCAACATGAAAACACAAGTCAGTGGATACAAAACACCATTTGTTAATAATTCAGCACAACTGACATCTAATGTACTTGTATGCATATATTTCCTTTCATTATAGCCATATGGATTAACATATCACACAATAGCTGTCAAAACCTAGACAGCATTTTTGGACATGAGAACCATTTGCATGTTCCTTTGAAGCCCGAAAATACCGTCTAGGCAGGCAGCTCACTAGATGTTGATACGCAGCCAGAGATTTTACGGGTTTCACTTGTCAACTGTCAAACAAACAGGGTGAAAATGAATTAAGGATGCTTAATTCTTTGGTAACTGGGCCATTCTACAAAACAGGTGCTATTTTTGTCTCTCAAATACATATTGGGAAAAAATTACTTTAACATTCAATAGATGATGCCAACTTTAAACACATAAACAAAACCAGTAACTTTCTGTCATGCTTTTTTCTTTCTTCATAAAGATGAGTCATTTTTACCACTCCTGTCAGTCCAACGTCTCGCTATTTATCCTCCTGAGACCCAACTATGGAGTTTTTGCCTCTGTAGTGGACATTATATTTTAGTGAATTTCTCTGAGACCTCACATGTCACAATTTTAAGTCTGGATGTCCTGTACAGAGCACATTCAGGGCTTTCCAGAGATACCAAATGATTGGATGTTTCACCATGACCACTCCCTCTCCTTGGTTTTTAAAAATGGCTGACATTAATTTAGTGATAAAATTGTACATCCTTATGGAAATATGATAATATTTTGTAATTATAATTTAAATCTCATTAATTTTCAAATTGTTTGTCATAAATCAACATCTCAGGAAAATGTTATGGGGTTTCAAATCAAAATATGACTTCCTGTTATGAAACAGGACATAATTTCATACATGTCCACTGTAGAGGACACCAGGACTAAAAGCATGTTTATTATACATTTTGGGAGACAAGAGAATTGAATAGGAAAACAAATTATATATCAATATTCTTATGAAATATTAGATATTATGAAAATCTGGCCAATTACTATTCCCATTATTACACTTCTTTTTTCAACATGCTGTCCCAACAGCACTTTAATATGCAAATTAGATACAGTGTATAGATAACATTGTGCTTAATGGGAAACCCAGTTTATGGAATTTTTACACACATATTGCATAAAGCAAAATGGTATATCAAATCATTTTGTTATATATTTTATAACATAGTTGAGAACCATCCTTAAACAAAGTTAGTTATAAAAGAATCCTGAAACCTAAAACTTGATTGGTGATTTAAAAAAAAAAATCCCATTATTTTTGCCTTTTCATGTCTACTCTTGTCATTTTATTTTTAGAAAAACTGAGTCCTGGTGTCCTCTACAGAGGACATAGCATAACTTATGAATAAAATATAATTTTTCAAAAATGTTATTTTACCATTTTTTTCTTATGCTCTAAACAATGTAATGACATGAAAAAATACTACATTCACAAAGCTTTTTATTTCTGGTTCTCAGGAGGATATTAGAATAATATATATTTGTAATATTAGAAAAATGTTATTAAATATAAAATATATGAAAGCCTAATATATATTCTAATACAAAATTATCTGCTATAATTTATTATCTAAAAATCAAGACAACTTACAGTCTCGTTTTTTTTTCTCGTCTTTTTGTTACTTTTGATAATAGTTCAATCTTAAATGTTCAAGTCTGTTTAGATGAATGTGCATAGCAAATGTTTGAAAATCGAAAAGTGGCTATTTGTTGAAATATCAGCATTAAATTCTCCTCATAATAAGCACTTTGTAGTTTCACGACCTTGCAATATCAACTTGAACTAAAAACTGTCAACCCTGTTTTATCATCAATCCTCTCCCAGCATAAATTACAATTGATTGATTTCACAATTCACTGACAGTCTTATTGAATGTTTAAAAATTTGACTTTAAATCACATTAAAGCTAAAAATGCTCCTATTTCTTAGAATAACCCAACTTCCTAATAACCAAACTGATCTTATGTGAATATTAGATGTGTATAGACTCCTGCTTCACAATTGCCGTGCAACGCAATTTCATGCATATTATCTGTAAAAGCTTAATGTAAACACTGAGACTAGCTCGAAGAGCAGATTCCGTTAAAGCTGGCTAACGCATCTCTTACGAAACAGATGTTTGGGAAATCCAGCCGAGGATTAATAAAATCAGTGATCACGCATATCGCCCTATAGAGGTATAACAGGAGTCGTTGGTTCAGTGTTGTGTCCTTACCTCGGCCGTTTGTAAGATCCTGTTTTTGAGGGGTATGTTGTTAGCTCGCTGGCAGTAATGGTAGCGGTTTATGATATGGTATGATGTGCAGGCAGCGGGGGACGGAGGTGCTTCTGCTGGGAGTGAATGTGAGAGGAGTGGCGACATCTAACGGTCACAAGGGGAACTGCGTCTAATGTTGAACCGACAAGCAGAGGGATATTAGCTTGATTCATTGAACTTCAGCGCTGCCTGTGCTATTACTCAACTGCATTTTGACACCAAGTCAAGTCAAAAATTAATCTTTCGATTGTTTCAACTTCGTGTAAATCCCCAAAGTACCATTTTTACTAAGCCAATACAATTTAACTTTCACAGCAGATGACATTGATTTCAGTGGGAACCTGTTTGGAGACTACCATGGCATTCATTTATTACTCTAAAGAAATAAACTTACATGTTTAGACATTGCTAAAGATTGACAAATTATCTAACAGTTTTCAAACTAATATTTTGTGTGTTCTAGTGTTATATAATCAGGACACCAATGCCAAGATGCAAAAAAAAAAAAAAAAAAAAGGGGAATAAAAAAACCGTGAACAAAATGGAGTCATAATCATAAAACCTGGACAGCTGGAGCACCAAGATGAACTTCAACATCTTTGTACAAGTAAGAGAAGCTGATTCCCTCCTCCAACATATCTCATGATATCTGAAGCAACTGGAAGATGTTTTTAGACAACATTCTTTATTTAGCATGAACCTATTCTAAGAAGTTAGGAAGCTGTATTAAAGGCAAATGGTGGTGAAACACCTTAATAAAGAAATATTCTATATTCATATATATAGATTAATTATATATACACACTTTTAAATACATTGAAGTTAATAAAGTACATTAAATTATTTTCAGTCAATTACTTTGAGCTTTGCAAGTGAAATCTGAGACAAAATCCTATATTTTCACTAAATCAATTTTTTTATAACCAAAATAAAAATAAAAAAAAATAAAAAGTAAAATGTCTTAATTTCTTCCAACTTCAACTTTTTCTCTCATCTGACCAAAATAAAGCAAACTTTAATTGTTGAGCTGTTTAGATTTTTATCTGTTAATAAATGCAATGCGATACAATTAAGGAATGGTTAGCGCCATCGATAAAACAGACTTTTTATATAATTAAACAGCTTTATTACATGAGAAAAGTGAAACTAACTGTTGCAAAATCAACAAAACTACAAGATCACCAAACTTACCAAACCCCAAAAAAAAAAAAAAAAACAGCACACAATTTCTCATAAAAGAAAAAAAAAAAACTGTACAAAATGACACAGTTGTGATTGAAACTGGATTCACATTATCGTCTTTTCTGGAAAATATTTCCCCTTCCTCCTGGCCCTCCTCGACCTCGGCCCCTTGCTGCGACTGCAAAGGAAAGACAAACAGTTAGTGGTTTCATCTTATGCATTTCCCATGAAAAGTATTAACTTGTTCAGCCTCCCGATTAAACAAAATACAAACAGTGTTCAGTGCTTTAGGACATTTAAATTAATTTTATTATTTAGATTTAATTTAATATTTATATATAATTGATATTTAAAGGCAATTGCTAATGGTACTAAAATGTACTAGATGCTCCAACAAAAATAATTCGGGACTATACAAATAATTAATGCGGCTAAAAAGCATTTGACATGAAGTCAAATATGCCATAAAAAGGTCCAACCTTGAGCTTTGAGAATAGCAGCTTTGCCTCTTCCAGCTCCTGCACCTTGGTTTTTGTTTTTCATGCTCTTCAACATGGGGGCGTTTTTCAACATGTCAGGCAGAATGAGGAAGCGTATTTTGCTGCCGCGAATGTATACCTGCTCCAGCTGGGACACTCTGCCATCTCGATAGGTCACTGTAATGTTGGACATCTGATTCAAATAAAACATAAGCCCAGTTAGTTTCATTACTCAAGGCTCCCTGCAAATGTAAATTTAAGTTTAAAGTAAATGTTTGGATAATGTAGATACAATGCATCAAGAATGAATTGTGATTCAGCAGTACCTGGCAGTTCATGTTATCCTCTGCTTCAATCAATTTGCCTCTGTACACCTCACCCGTATTTGTCTCGCAGGTCACGATGTGACCCTCTGCTTCATGCAGGACTTTGATGGGAACACCAATAGACATGTTTTAATCTGAAGACAAAAAAATGTAATTAACATCAAGTTTAGAATAGTTTCTAATCGTTCATGATGAAAGTAATAGCTAGAGGTGAAAGTTCAGACTCAGAGAGAATACTGATTCTTAAGCGTTCGAGTCACTTAAAAAGATCCGATTCATTAGAACAATTCGTTCGGGAATCGGACTACACTGGTCCCGCTGTATACTTTTGAATCAGTAAAACGAACCGGCTCATAAGAATCATTCGTTCAGGAATCATGTTCTGTGCATATTGCGTATCCACGGACAAAAATGGAACGCCATGAAAACCATTCAGTTTTGGTATTTAATACAGCTAGCTTATACTGACTTAAGTAACTAAACTAACTAATATAAATATATATCTAGACTGCTCTCAAACGAGTCGAATACATAAACCAAGCAAACAATTCATGTCTGAAATGGACGTTGTTCCGCTAAAGCATCGAACAGATCCAACAGGACCGTATACTTTCGCGAAAGACAAAACGATAGACTACAAATAACAGATTTGTGTCATAAAACATTACAGTACCTTGTATCAACGGCTTCGTAGAAAACCTCACAGTTGAACAACGTGAGTATTTGCGGCGTTTTCCCGCTCCCACAATGCAGCTGAAAGCAGAAGCCCCGCCCTTTCCTGAAACCCTGTTGCATTTTGGGAGTTGAAGTCCTATTACTAAGTAAAATTCAGGTCAATGTAAACAAGAATCAGACACCTCAGAATTACACAAGAGGGCAGTATTGAATTGTGGCTATTATCCCAAACAATGTCATTCAATTTAAAGGGATAGTTCACCCAAAAATGAAAATTTGATGTTTATCTGCTTACCCCCAGGGCATCCAAGATGTAGGTGACTTTGTTTCTTCAGTAGAACACAAATTATGGTTTTTAAGTCCAGCCGTTGCAGTCTATCAGTCTTATAATGCATGGCAATGGTAACGAAATCTATGAGAGTAAAAAAAACATGCACAGACAAATCCAAATTAAACCCTGCTGCTCGTGACGACACATTGATGCCCTAAGACACGAAACGATCGGTTTGTGCGAGAAACCGAACAGTATTTATATCATTTTTTACCTCTAATACAACACTATGTTCAACTTCCTTGAGCGCGCGCACGGCATCCGGTGCGTGAGGTGTGTACGCGCTCTGGCGTAGTTTACGTTAATGGGTGTGTTGATATCCAGCCGAAGAGCAATCAACCATAACTTCAGGCGAGCAGGCTCAGAAGTTGGGAATACGTGGAAAGTCACCACTCCCGAATGAGTTCGCGCGAGAGAATGTAATCTTTTAGTTTTAAGTCGGTTTGAACAATCCTGATAAGCGCAAGTAAGTACCATTTTGATTAGCCGTCGTACCTACAATGACTGTGCACTGTGTAAACAATGAGTGACGTATACGTGCGAGAGATCACTTCCGGCGCTTACACGCGTACACACCTCACGCACCGGATGTCGTGCGCGCGCTCAAGGCAGTTGGACATAGTGGTGTATTAGAGGTAAAAAATGATATAAATACTGTTTCTCGCACAAACTGATCGTTTCGTGTCTTAGGACATCAATGTGTCGTCACGAGCCACAGGGTTTAATTTGGATTTGTCTGTGCATGTTTTTTTTACTCTCATAGATTTTGTTACCATTGCCATGCATTATACGACTGATAGACTGCAACGGCTGGACTTAAAAATCATAATTTGTGTTCTACTGAAGAAACAAAGTCACCTACATCTTGGATGCCCTGGGGGTAAGCAAGATAAACATCAAATTTTCATTTTTGGGTGAACTATCCCTTTAATCTTTTAATTAAAAGTCACAATTAGCAATTATAATAAACAGTTTTAAAAATCTTTGTCAATATGTTACAGTAAGTGTTCAACATTTATTTCTGCTTGCTATAACTGAATTTAAAACATGTAACATTGTTAATGTTTTTGTGCACGAAATACATTTTTGACAGATTTCATTAACAATTCTGAAACAATTACTTAGGCTATATGCCACATATTAAACAATAAATTGTTAAACAATGGGAGAGAAAAAAAAGCTTTGAGAAGTCATTTGTCTGGTTTTGGCATCATCAAGATTCAATGCTCTAGTCTCAGACATTGTGCAAGGCAGCAATATACGGTCTAAATTTGTTCTGTCATCCTGGTGCTTGATAGACTGATTCTGTGTCTATTCTTAGCAGTAGTCTTTTCCTCTTTGTCTGTAAATCACGGCAGAACAAGAGACCTGTTCAAAACGGGCTGAACTGACGAGCCAAGACAGGAAGTATTACGTTTGCCGATTCTGTTTATTAATTGAATGTTCCTGTTTTCCTGAAATTAAGGGAAGTGGTAAAAAACTAATAATGGACTGAAATGGTGAAATGGAGGTCAAAGATACCACATAATGTTGTAACAGCAAATTCCTATAAACCCACCTCCCCATGCCAAAGATATTTAACCTACTTTATTTATTTTGCATCACAATATGTTACAATATGTTATCTAAGGAATTTTATCATTGGTAAGATGAAAAAATGAAATTATTTTCCTTAAAAACATGTCCGCGTTTAACAGGAAATTGTAACTGTTTATCAAATAGTATCAAAAGAGTCTCTTTCTGTGACCTGAAATTGCCCTCATGAGATTGAACTTGACGTTCTGAAGAATTTCACCTGCATCAAATCCACAAAAGAGAAAAAAGTCAATTCAACCAATTACAAACAGTGACATAGTGGAACGGGTGGGGACGTGTCTGTTGATTGCACAGTAACTCTCAGCAATGTCTTCAAACCTCATTTTAGCAGCAGAATGAACCTGTCAGCTGCTACTGATTAGTGACAAGCTGACAGTCTGTTAGCTTCACTCCCAACTGATTTACACTACAAGCATTCATGATGGAAGAAGATAAATTACTGCGTAAGCCCAGAGATTCGTTTTTGTAAAGAACATCTGTCTGATC